CTGAAATTCTGACTTTATAACCTAATATTCTGACTTTACAACTCGTAATTTGGACTTTACATCCTGAAATTCTAACTTTAAAACTCAGAATTCAGACTTCATAACCCAAAATTCTGACTTTATAACCTGAACTTTTGACTTTATAGCTCAAAATTCTGTCTTTATAACTCAGAATTCTGACTTTACAACCCGAAATTCTGATTTTACAACTGACATTCTGACTTTACAACCTGAAATTCTGAGTTTATAACCTAAAATTCTGACTTTAAAACCTGAAATTCTGACTTTACAACTCTTATTTTATACTTTACAACCTGAAATTCGGACTTAACAACCTGAAATTCTGACTTTACAACCTGAAATTCTAATTTTATAACTCGAAATTTTGACTTTATAACCTAGAATTCTTACTTTCTATATCGGAAGTCTGACTTTTAACTTGAAATTCTGACTTTATAACCCTGACTTCTGTCTTTATAATCCAAAGTTCTGACTTTATCTCGGAAATGCGACTTTACAACTCAGAATTCTTACTTTTATTACCTGAAATTGTAACTTTATAACCTGAAATTTTGAATTTTGACTTTTTAATTTGAATTTAACTTTTTAAATTGAATTTAATTTTTTATTATTCAGTGTCGGGAACAGGCTTCCATAGTCGAGCCCTGCTAATCAGTCAATAATGGAAAGAAGATTAGCTGAACTTCAAATTTAAAGAGTTTAATCTTCAGAATGTAGAAGAAAGGGATTGCAGAGGCATGACAAGGATTCACTTTGATGGAAAAAAGCTAAATACATTTTTAATAAGAGATATATAAATATAACTATATATATATATATATATATATATATATATATATATATATATATATATATATATAATTGAAAGTGAAATAATTTGGCAAAGTAAAATTATGATATGTTTAATCACAAATAAATTTTCAAATTATAAAAAAAAATTATAAAAAATTAAATTACATTATTTAAATTATTTTTTTTTACCCTATGGTGCTTTTGGAAGTCAACGAGACAGACTTTTAGTAACACCTTCACTTACAAATTGGCGATCTCATTTTGTTTACATAAAATAAGCCTGCGTCCATGCAGGTTTCATTTTACAGGCCTGTTGCTATGACAGCAGCTCTGGGATGAGAGCCTCAATCCTGGATCCTGTGTAATTGAGTAATTCGCATACAGAGAATGGAAATCTTTTTGACTAATTTATTACAAGTATCCATTTCATGTTATTCGATGTAAATTCTAATCTGAGGTTTGTTCTTCAACAGGCTCTTAAAGATGAAATTAAAGCCATGCATGGTCTGCGCATATTCACCGATGTTCCTCGAAAGTAGAAACTGCTCGGGGGTCATTCTCACATCGCCTCAGTCTGCCGTCTCACCGCAATGTAGTATCACACACACCTCAACCTGTCTGTCTTTCCCTTTTAAAGTCAATTATATGCAAAGTTCTGAGAGTGGCTGGGATGTACTTTGTAGATTTTATAAATAGGAGCTGTACAGTTACTCAAAATGAATGCTGTCGTACGCACAAGATGAAAGAATGTTTTGAAATTGTTTTTGCTAGTGTGCAAAAAAAAAAAAATGTGAATGAGAATGTAGAAGGCATGTTGTGGATGATTTGAATTGTTGATCATATTTCAGTAGTCTAATGGTCCCACTCTTCGTATAAAATCACACTTGAAGTAGATTTTTGAGAGATGTTTGTCTGTTCTGTCGATACATTAAATTATATCACCTTTACCTGACAATTTTGTGGCCTGATGTTGGTTGTATTTTATGAAAAGATAACACATCACGCCCCATTCACACGGGGCTTCAGCATCAACGCTTCCCATTCACTTTGAATGGGTGACATCAGGCATTGCCGAACTTCATTGTGGATATGTCGGCGCCGCTTTAGAGGCATTGCTCGCTGCAAAAGTTGGGACTAGTTCAACTTTTCAAGCGCCAACAGAAGCGTCAGCCAATCAGAATGCTGTATGCAAATACACCAGATAGACAGTGGCCTATTGCTGACGGAATTTTATTGGCTGACGCTGCTATGACGATCGCGGCAACCCCAGCTTCAGACACGCCTTCAGTAAAGCGTTGAAGCTGAAGCCCCGTGTGAATGGAGCGTTAGTTTTATTCGAAGCTGCTTGTGACTGAAAATAGTATATTCGACTGCAGTACTGCTATAGTGGATTCATTTATTTACGTCATTCTGATGAATTTTATTCCCAATTTAATACAAAAACAGAAAATATTTTCTCGCTATACTAGTGATTGGTAATGCTTGTTGTGGTTCAGAATGATTTCAAATTTCCCAGAAGTGCCCATTTTGTTTTTTGCATTGATGCGAAACGTTTAGTTATACGTTGTTTGTCATCATTGTGTTTCCGAATAAATCCCATACATATGTCTTCATGACCCAGAGCCTGTTGCACCAGCAGTGTGTAAGTTAAAATGTAATCTAGTTGTGATTTAAAAGGACACAACGTTACAACTTACACATTACTAACTGTTTTTGTGTTGCACCATTGAACTTAGTTTCAACGTAATGCTACGTTCCAGCTAAATATTTATGCCTACCCCCCACCCACACCACCACCAATTATAATGCTAGAAAAGACATGACAGCGAGATTAGTTTGAGGAGCTTGCGGTTACAATGAAGCATGGTCTCCCTTTAGTCAGCCTTAATTTCCTCCCAAACCTCGCGTTTGTTTCGGTTTGCGAAAGAAGAGTTTAATTTTCTTTCAAGGAGTGTTTTGTGTTAATTGTGTCCACCAATTAAAATGGGAATTTCTTCATGACTGGGTTTTTCTCCCTGCTCTTTTCTTTTTCATTTGTTGAATATTTAAAAAAAAAATCAAGTTTAATGTTTTGATAAATTCGTTTTTCACGTGCATTCACAGCTCGCGATGCAGGTGTGTGCGTGTCATCTGTTAAAGTGACTGATTGTAATGTAATGTACTATAAAAATATGATTTAGAATATCTTTTTTATTGGACAGTTATATACAGATGCATTTGTTGCAGAGTTTTAAAGCATTTCAATGATTTATATACTTTATATTAAATATAACGTCATTCAATGTGACTACAGATGACTTTACGGAGAGCTTACGACCTACCAACTACGGTTTGTTTTAAGAACATGTGGTGCAACCGAAGTGAGAACAAGTTGAGTTACAAACTAGCTAGTCGTTTTTAAGCCCCTAGTGAGGACTTTACGTTCCAGTTTAACTTACGATCAGCTGGTGCAACCCTATCCTGAACCAAAAACTCAGCCTTTTTTAAGTGTTTACCAAAGAAAAATTTACCACACAATTACATTTTAGCTGCGTAATTATTTTGGAAAGCAACTACGTTCAGTATTTGTACTGAAGACATCTTGTTGTAACGATGTTTGCTTCACAAGTCCATTGATTTAAAATTCAGTACGAATCAATTCCAATGACCGGTTCTAAAGAATGATTCGCAGTTTTACGTTGTTTGTCATCATTGTGTTTACAAATAAAACCCTTATGCCTTCGTGAACTGAGCCAAGAATTAAGCCATTTTAAACTATTAACCAAAGAAAAAGGTACCACACAATTACTTTTTAGGTGCGTAATTATTTAGGAAAGCAATGTTCAGCTATTTTACTGAGGATGGAAGTCTTGGTGTTTGCTTTGCATGTCCTCGCTGAAGAAGTTACGTTGTCGCCATTGTGTTTACTAATAAAACCCATGTCTTTGTGACCTGGATCAAGAATTCAGCCATTTTAAAGTGTTAACCAAAGAAAAATTTTACCACAAAATTGCTTTTTAGGTGCGTAATTATTTAGGAAAGCAATTGTGTATAGCACTTTTAATGAGGATGGATGTCCTATAGCAGTGTTTGCTTTACAAGTCCAGTTATCTACAATTCAGTACGAATCAATTCCCACAACCGGAAGTTACGTTGTTTGTCATAATTGTGTTTATGAATAAAAACCTCTATGCCTTTGGCATCTGGGTTAAAACTCAGCTATTTTAAAGTGTTTACAAAAAGAAAAACCCCAGACAATTACTTTTTAGGTACATAATAATTTAGTAAAGCAGTGTTTTTACTGAGGTTTGAAGGATTTACAATTACGTACAAATCGATTCCAAAGACCAGTTCAAAAGATTGATTCGCTGTAGAAATTATATGTTGTTGGTCATTATTGTGTTTATGAATAAAACCCCTATGCCTTGGTGACAAGAATTCAGCCATTTTAAAGTGTTTACCAAAGAAAATTGTACCACACAATTACTTTTTAGGTGCGTAATTATTTAGGAAAATTAAATTTCGTAGATTGAAGGATTTACAATTCAGTACGAATTGATTCCAACGACCGATTCAAAAAGAATGATTTGCTAAAGAAGTTATACATTGTTTGTCATCATTGTTTACGAATAAAACTCCTATGCCTTCATGACCTGATCAAGAATTCAGCCATTTCTTTAGAGTTTATCAAAGTAAAAATTACCACACAATTACTTTTTATGTGCGTTATTATTTAGGAAAGCAATGTTTAGCAATTTTTCTGAGGATGGAAGTCTTGGTGTTTGCTTTACATGTCCAGTGATTTACACATCTCTCCAAATCGATTTGATTGACCGGTTTAAACAAATGATTCGCTGAAGAAGTTGCGTTGTCGTCATTGTGTTTACGTATAAAACCCATTTCTTTGTGACCTGGATCAATAATTCAGCCTTTTTAAAGTGTCTAGCAAAGAAAAATGTACCACACAATTACTTTTAGGTGCGTATTTATTTAGGAAAGCAATTATGTTTTATAATTTTACTGAGGATGGAGTCTTGCGGTGTGTGATTTACAAGTTCAGTGATTTACAATTCAGTACGAATCGATTCGAATGACCGGTTCAAACGAATGATTCGCTGAAGATTCGAATATCAGCAGCGGATGGTGCGGCAGGAGCAGCAGAGAGAGCGCAGTCTCCGGGAGGCTTTCGGCAGACCGTTAGGCTGTTCACATCGTCTTCAGACATGGCAAAGGAGGGCACGGAGATCGCCGAAGAGACCGAGCAAATGATAGACCAGAAGGAGCCGGAGAATCCCGTCTCTGCGGTGGTAGATTCAAAAGAAATGCGGGCTGTGGTTTTGACGGGCTTTGGTGGACTAAACAAACTCAAAGTCACCAAGAAACCAATGCCAGAGCCACAAGAAGGAGAAGTCAAAATTCGCGTGAAAGCATGGTAAATATGTTCAGGTTGTGTTCTGTTTTTGTGTGTTAAATTCAGCTTGCGTAATAATGGCACATCTGAGACTTCGAGCGACTGGCAGCAGCAGCAACATGTTGCAGCCCGAGGAGCAGGTGCTTTCTCCTCCTTTCCACACACACACTAGTGATTTTATTTTGCATTTAAAACAATTAAATGTTAAAATATTACACTTTTTATGTTTTCAATGATACACATTAGTGAACCGTTTTGTTCTCCAGCTGATCTTCGCACCTCATTTGGTTCAGACGTGCATGACTGCTCTTGGGACATTTAATCGTTTGTGTATTACTGTGGGAGGAATGAAACATTATAATCAATAAAATATAGTTGTATTGGTAACACTTCGGTTTAAGTAACAATTCACACCATTTAACACTGGCTTGTTACTATTATGTATTAACTGTTTATTAGCACGTATAAAGTATGATCTTATTCTACTTTCCTAATCCTACCCAATACCTAAACCCATCTACTACATTACTAACTATAAATAAACAGCTTATTAATATTTATTGAGCTAAAAATCCTAGTTAATGGTGTGAATTGTACATAAAATAAAGTGCATTCTTCATAATAAACAATACATTTAAAAATACAATTATAATAAATGATACATCATATGTCTTTCTGCTGTTTATGGTTGAAACAAACTGGAATTAAACTTCATTATCTTGGGATTTAATTTTACAGTGGATTGAACTTTCTTGATCTAATGGTACGTCAAGGAAATATTGATAATCCTCCAAAGACACCTCTTGTGCCTGGATTTGAGTGTTCTGGGATTGTGGAGTCTGTGGGAGAGAACACCAAAGGCTTCGAGGTATGTTCATAAATGTTTTTTTGTTACGGTTATTTTCTTCCAACAATATTTTCTCCAACTCAGCAGGATTCACTGAAAAATTATTAAACGAGCAATGCATTTGCACATACACTAAACAAAATACAGCAAAACTAATCAAAAACACACTCTGAATCCAAAATCCAAAAGGATAAGCACTAATATGTAGAAACAATTATGTTCAAGATGAAGTCAAAAAGGGCAGATTAATGCTTTAATAATGCTCCAGTATTGACTTCTTTTATTTTTCATATAAAACTGAGTGTTAAAATACTTAAATATTTGACGATACATATGGAAATGAATCAATAAGCATTTTTGCACTTTAATGTGGGACTCATAATACTAATGAAGCTTGATCTTGAACGTGCAATAGAAGATCTTGGAAAATGCTAACATTAGCCTAAAAGTACTGAAAGCCTACAATACATCACGTAACATTCAACTGAGTGAAAACTTTACAGTATATTTCAAACTTTAAAAAAGATGGTAGGTTGTTGATGTTTGCTTGCCATAACTGGAGGTTAACTACATTTATATTCTGTCAACCCTTTACACAATACTTTAACTTTTCTGATTATATCTATCCGAGTAAACTCAAATCCAATTGAATTGAACTCTCCCTCTGTGCCAATGACACAATCCTTTATGGAGAACAGGATGCACAGAGGGATGTGGTTACATATTTTGACTGGCAGGTTGGACAGTTTATTGTAATGTTCAGACCAAAAGTTTTGTTTATACAAACTTTTCTTGGATCTGCATGAAGTTGCCACCCCATAAAAATTAATAATCCCCAAAACTATGCCATTCGTTTGTGCTGATTTGTCATGTCATTTTCTTGTCGACTTAGTCCCTTTATTAATCCGGGATCGCCACAGCGGAATGAACCACCAACTCATTCAGTACATTTTTACGCAGCAGATGCCCTTCCAGCTGCAACCCATCTCTGGGAAACATTCACACACACACACACACTCATACACTATGGACAATTTAGCCTACCCAATTCACCTGTACCGCATGTCTTTGGACTGTGAGGGAAACTGGAGCACCCGGAGGAAACCCATGCGAAGGCAGGGAAAACATGCAAACTCCACACAGAAACGCCAACTGAGCCGAGATTCGAACCAGCGAACCTTGTGCTGATTTGTGCTGCAAAAACGATCGTTTGTGCTAGTTTGGGGTCTGAGATATTAAGCTTTTTTTTGACTGTGTGAGGTCACATTCCACCCCATTTTGCATACATCGCTCCAAATCAGCAAAGTTTGTGCTCGATTTGTACTGGTTTGTGTCGTTAAAACACACACATTTTATATCTATTTTCGTTGTTTAGATTTACCCAAAATATTTCGGGAGCTGTGATGTCACTCTTCACACCAGGTTTTCTAAATCGCACAAAACTGGTTTCATTCGTTTGTGCCGTTAAAATAAACACTGCAGCTATTGTTATTGTTTAGATATTGCCTAATCAAAATATTTCAGGAGCTGCGAAGTCATTCTCCACCCCTTTATTCCTTCTAAATCGCACAAAACTGATGTCATTCATTTGTGCCTGGTTGATTTGAGCTACATGGGGTGGAAAGTGAAAATAATGCTTGATATTTCTGACCCCAAAGCAGCACAAACGTTTGTTTTTGCGGCACAAATCAGCACAGTTGCAGCACAAAAGAATGGCATAGTTTTGTGGATTCTTTATTTTTATGGGGTGCCAATTTCACAGAGGTTTTTTTTGGTACTTCCAATTTGGTGGGAACAGCAAAAAAGGAAAGGAATTTCATGTCGATTCGGATAAAGATTATGCAATTAAACATTTTTCTTGAAAAATAGCCATATCACTCTGCAACCCAAGACCAGTTACTCACTGAAGCTAAGCAAGACTGAAACTGGTTAGTACCTGGATGGGAGACCACATGGGAAAACAAGGTTGCTGTTAGAAGTGGTGTTAGTGAGGCCAGCAGGGGGCGCTCATCCTGCAGTATAGTGCCCTATACTATTGCCCCAGTATAGGGTAGGGGACACTATACTGTCAGGGCGCACTCACACTATGGTATCTGAACCGTGCCTTGTTTCCTGCATCGTTTGAGAAGTGTGAGTGCTCTGAATTGGACTCAGGCGCAGTTCAGTTGGCCATTCCTTGCCTGGTTGGAAGACGTGTGGCAGAGCGCGGTTTACTTGGGCCGTGACGCGATATGCTTGTAGTGTGCCTGAGCCCGAAACTGAAGACGCAACGTCACTTTTAAGGGACTGTTTCATATGGATTTATTAATCAATTCTTCAGCTAAACCTTCAGGAAGCCTCCTAATACGTGCAGCACAAGGACTTAATAATAATTTATGAGCGTCAAATATTGTGGATCTGATGGGCATATGTATGCATTGTGGATCTGTATGGCCATACATGATAAATGCACTATATAAATACACATTACATTAGATGATGGATCTTGGATGAAAATACTTTCTGAAACGGTTAGTTTGGAAATTGATACAGTAATAGCAAACATCACAATATCGACGTGTATTGATGTTGTTTTTAGACTGCTGTCTGCACTCGTTGGCTGAAAAGGAAACTTTTGAATAGCACACACAGATGAACTGTTAGCAAAAAGGTCGCTTGTTTGAGTCCCAGCTGGGTCAGTTGACATTTCTGTGTGGAGTTTGCATGTTCTCCCAGTGTTTGCGTGGGTTTCCTCAGGGTTTCCCCACAGTCCAAAGACATTCAGTAGTTTAGGTGAATTAGTGGAACTAAAGTAGCCGAAGTGTATGAGTGTGTGTGTGTTTGTGTTGTTTATGGGAGTGTATGTGTGTTTCCCAGTACTGGGTTGCCGCTAGAAGGCCATCCACTGCATAAAACATATACTGAAATAGTTGGTGGTTCATTACGCTGTGGTGACCTCTGGTAAATAAGGGACTAAGGCGTAGGAAAATGATTGAATGAATAAATACATTTGGACCACTTAATGATTGCTATTAGAATGTGAGGAAACTTCCAACCAGGATAACACATTTGTTTTCGAACATAATCACCCAATCACCCAATGTTTTTTTTATTTTGTATTTTCAGATCGGCGATAGAGTGATGGCCTTTGTAAACTACAATGCCTGGGCAGAGGTCGTATGCTCACCGCTAGATTTCGTGTTTAAGATCCCAGACGACATGACATTCCCAGAGGCGGCTGCCTTCTCATTGAACTTTGTGGCTGCCTACATGATGCTGTTTGAAGTGGCCAATCTCCGGGAGGGGATGTCTGTATTAGTGCACTCAGCAGGAGGTGGGGTGGTAAGTCTGTTGCCTTGAGCGATAGAGTTAGCAAAGAAACTTTGAAGTAGCAGAGATTAAACTTGCAGTTAAGTACAGACTTACAGATCCCATACTGCTGTTTCGCTCTCTGACCTAAAAGGGCTATGTAGGAGTTCATAGCTCATGCATGGAAAAAATATATTTACTCATGGTTTACTCACCCTGAAGTGAGTATCTTTACTGCATTGAACACAAAGGAAATGGTAAACCTCTGACATCCATAGTAAATGAAGAAGTACTATGGTAATCAGTGTCTATCTAAAAGATGTGGCATTGTGTAACAATAAATAACTGCTTGATACAGTTTGTAATATTGTGGTGTAGGAGTTATTTTGTGCTGCAGCATTTCTCAATTACTGTTTTTATTACCCATCACAGTAATTCGACCATAAGTGCCCTTGGAATTGGAATTATTTCCTGTGGAGTCCACTTCTCAGGGCATTTACGGTCAATATAATCAACCTGTCATAACAGTGTAATGTTAATTACCTCATCTGTCGACGTGATGCTGGTCCATTGCAGAGCTTGTGCAAAGATATTCATTTCGCTACGCTCCCATGTTTTTTTTTTGTGTGTGTGTGTGTGCTAATTCTGTTTTTGAGAGGAATACATGGAGTGTATTTTTACAATTATACTCTGGGCTGAGTGAATGCTTGGTTTTAATTGGCTGATGAACATTCTAAGTTGTTTAATTAACATTTAACACACAGATAAAGTAGTTTCAGGCAGGTTTAAACTCTTCCATATTTGCTTTGAGTGATTACACAGCCTGATTTCTTTGTCAGAAATAAAATCAAATATGTTTTTATGAGATGTGTAGGAAACTAATTCTACACACAGGAGAAGTTTTGAGGGTAAAAAAAACAGACAAATGTCTTGAAATACACACCAGAACAGTGTCTTTAGGTGTAGAATTTGTAATATAAGTGGAATAATTGATTCAGGTTCATTACATTACTACAAAAAAATGTACACTACCTGACAAAATTCTTGTCGCCTATTCAAGTTTTAGGAACAACAAATTATAACTTGATTTCTAGTTGATCATTTGGTATCGGAGGTGGCTTATATGATTGATTATGCGTATTTTACCAAAATAAAATATGATCATGCCTTGATGTTTTATTATTTGATTAAGAAAGTAAAGTCTGACTTTGCTTTAACAAAAGTCTTGTCACTAAAGTCATGGTGCAGTGGAAAAATAATGAATATTGTTTATGACTCCCATGAGCTAGGAGGACTGCATCCATACATCTCTGCAATGACTCAAATCACTTATTAGTAAAGTTATCTGAAATGGCAAAGAAAGCGTTCTTGCAGGACTCCCAGAGTTCATCAAGATTCTTTGGATTCATCTTCAATGCCTCCTCTTTCATCTCACCACAGACATGCTCAATAATGTTCATGTCTGGTGACTGGTCTGGCCAGTCCTGGAGCACCTTGACCTTCTTTGCTTTCAGGATCTTTGATGTGGAGGCTGAAGTATGAGAAGCGCTATCCTGCTGAAAAATGTACCCTCTCTTCTGGTTTGTAACGCAATGGGCAGCACAAATGTCTTGATACTTCAGGCTGTTGATGTTGCCGTCCACTCTGCAGATCTCTCGCACACCCCCATACTGAATGTAACCCCAAACTATGATTTTTCCTTCATCAAGCTACTGTGAGAATCTTGGGTCCTTGCGGGTTCCAGTAGGTCTTCTGCAGTATTTGTGATGAATGTAATGCAGTTCAACAGATAATTAATCAGAAAAATCTACCTTCTGCCACCGTTCCAAATGATCAACTAGAAGTCAAGTTATTATTTGTTGCTCTTACAACTGTGATCGATGACAAGACTTTTGTCAGGTGGTGTACACTAGAGATCTGCACTATTTTCTTTGCATTGTGGCTACAGTACCTCCTTGAGTGTGCGTTATTTTCCAATAATGTATTGGGCCAGCATAAATTATTATGATCGCCCTCAATGTCACGTTCAGGTGGAGTAATCGCAGTTTAAGTCATATAACTGATTCAGATCCATTGAATTATTTGAAAATAATTCACACTGTAGATGCTCATCACCTACTTCAATTGGGTGTGCAGTGTTTCCTAATAATACAATGGCCTATCATTAATTATTCCTTACCTTAATGTCATTGTCAGGTGGTGTAACTACAGTATAAGTAGTATAATTGACTCTAGGTCATTGAATAATTAGAAAATAATCTACACTCATGATGTGTGTTATTTTCTTAGCGTTGTGACTGCATCTTTACTTTAGTTTTGCTTTGTTTTCTAACAATTCATTGGCCTGTCATCAATTATTCCTTATTTTAATGTCATGCTCAGTTGGGTTAACCATAGAGTAGTTGACTTTGGTTCATTGAGTTTTTAGAAAATAATGCACACTTAAGATTAAGTGCATTATTTCCTTGTTGATCCTCCTTCACCACTTTATCACCGCTTTAATTTTGCACTATTTTCTAATAATTTAATGGGCCGTCAACAATTATTTTTTACCTCAATATCACTTTCAGGTGGGGTAACCACAGTATTAATAGAAAGTAATGCACATACAAGATTTTTGTCTTTGTGTTGTGTCCGCATCATCTCAAATATGCATTATTTCCTAATAATTCTATTATCCATCAATTATTCCTTATATCAATGTCATTGTCAGGTGTGGTAACCACAGGATAAGTGAAATAATTGACTCTAGGTCATTGAATTATTAGAAAATAATGCACACTCATCATGTGTGTTATTTTCTTAGCATTGTGACTGTATCACCACTTCAGTTTTGCATACAGTAGTTTTCTATTAATTCAATGTCCTGTCATCAATTATTACTTATTTCAATGTCATTCTCAGTTGAGTTCATCTTAGTATAATTGACTTTGGTTCATTGAGTTTTTAGAAAATAATACTTAAGATTGAGTGCATCCTTTTCTTCTTGTCAATCCTGCTTCACCACTTTATCACCGCTTCAATTTTGCAATATTTTCGAATAATTCAATGGGCCATCATCAAATATTTCTGACCTCAAAGTCACTTTCAGGTGGGGTAACCACAGTATGAATGAAATAATTAACTCCTGTCCATTGAATTATTAGAAAGTAATGCACATACAAGTTTATTTTCTTTGTGTCTTGGCTGGATCATCTCAAATATGCATTTTCTAATAATTCAATTACTCTTCATCAATTATTACTTACATCAATGACATTGTCAAGTGTGGTAACCAAAGGATAAGTGCAATAATTGATTCTGGGTCATTGAATAATTAGAAAATATTGTACACTTAAGATTATTATTTTCATTATGTTGAGGCTGCATCAACACCTCAAGTGTGCATTATTTTTTAATAATTCAGTGGTCCGTCGTCAATTATTGCTTACCTTAATGTCATTGTCAGGTGGGGTAACAACAGTATAAGTAGTATAATTGACTCTAGGTCATTGAATTATTAGAAAATAATGCACCCTCACGATGTGTGTTATTTTCTTAGCATTGTGACTGCATTACCACCTCATTTTTGCATTGTTTTCTATTAATTCAATGGCCTGTCATCAATCATTCCTTATTTCAATGGGAGTTGGGATGAGCGTAGCATAATTGATTTTGGGTCATCGAAATTTTTGAAAATAATACACACTTAAGATTGAGTGCATCATTTTCTTCTTGTCAATCCTGCTTCACCTCTTTATCACCACTTAAATTTAGCAATATTTTCTAATAATTCAATGGGCCGTCATCAATTATTGCTTACCTCAACGCCACTGTCAGGTGGGGTAACCACAGTATAAGTTGTCTAAGGGATTGACTAATTGATCTTCTTGTTGTGCCTGCATCACCACTTCAGTTTTGCTATATTTTTGAATAATTCAATGGCCCGTCATCAATTATTTCTTACCTAAATGTCACTCTTAGATAGACGCCAATTCGTTGTTTGGTGTCAATATATCACAATTTGTTTTTTGATTTTACTTCTGTTCAAAGAACGCAAAAGAACAATGCTGTGAATATTGAATAATGTTCGTTCGTAGGCCTGTCACAATAATCAATTTATCAACTTATCGATTTACCTCAGTTACTTTTTACCTTGCACTTTTTTGTTAACATTTATTATTATTTACTTGGTTTGGACATACATTTTGACATTCTGATTCTAATGCCCAGTTATTAAATTGCTAAAAATGACTGTATCAATAAATGAAGTATTCTCTAGAATAAAATATTATGTGTTCTTTGGAAGAGTGTACTTACATTTTGTATATATACACTTTAAAATCTAAAAAGTAAAGGTAACTCAAACCATTTGAGGAAAACGATTACAAAAAACGTTCAAAAACTAATCCGAATAAGTACTGTGAACTTAATCCATTTGAGTAAACAAAGCAATTTGAGCACAGTGAAACCCAATAAGTGAAGAGAACTCACACTGAGTACTGGAAAACCCAATAAGTTAAGGTTACTCAAACCGTTTGAGTAAATCAATTGCAACAAACCATTTGAGTATTAAAAAAAAAAAAACTAATCTATATGAGTACTGTGAATTTACTCCAATTAAGTTAAGGAATTTACTCCAATTAAGTTGGTGTAATGAGGCATTTCATTAACTTATTACCTTCAACACTGAGTTCAAAACTCTTTTAATTTGATAAAGTTGACTGTTGGGTTTTATATATGGTATAAAATGACAATATCGTTTATCGCAAATGTATTTTGGTGTGTTACGAATTCTAATCTTGCTTGGCTCCACACAGCAAGCCAGACCCGTAACAATAAATAATATTAAATTAAAATAATTAGAACTTAAGAAGAATTAATGAGGAGACCGGAGTCTCATCTCCCGTTCAAAAGGAAAAAAACAACAAGAAAAATTAATGACCAAGAATTTAACGTAAAGTCAAATTTATTTGACGTTTAAACTTCAAAAGGCGACAATAAAAAAAGCTTGCGGAGGAAAACGCCAAAATAACAAACAAAACGCAACACCTAACTAAGTTGTTAGACCTCTTACCCGCACATAAAATTAAACAAATAAAATAACATTCAGTTACCTCTCTACTAACCACAAAACATGAGAAAAATGTAATAAAACAAAAAGGCACCCTCAGCACACGTGTCTCCGTATAGATCTCAAAGTCAACATTTAGCGCAAACTTTCAACACTTTCGCCGAGTAATTACACAGTTTCTACTTCACAACGCAAACAACACTAGCAGGGAGAGAGGAGACTATCTGAACGACATTCCAGTCCGGTTTAAATGGTCTTCACCAACAAGCCGGCCTCCACGTGCTGGCACCTGTTTTACCGCACCTGT